GCACGCGCACGCAGCGCGTCACCGAGCGCTGCAACTGCACCTTCCACTGGTGCTGCCACGTCAGCTGCCGCAACTGCACGCACACGCGCGTACTGCACGAGTGTCTGTGAGGCGCTGCGCGGACTTGCCCCCCGGGAACGCTCTCCGCGAGCCCTCCCCCAAACAGACTCGCTGGCACTCAAGACCCGGTTATTCGCCCACCCGAGTACCTCCAGTCACACTCCCCGCGGTTCATATGTATCCCATCTCTCCCACTTCCTCCTACCTGGGGACTCCTCAAACCACTTGCCTGGGGCGGCATGAACCCTCTTGCCATCCTGATGGACCTGCCCCGGACCTACCTCCCTCCCTCTCCGCGGGAGACCCCTTGTTGCACTGCCCCCTGCTTGGCCAGGAGGTGGGAGAAGGATGGGTCCCCTCCGCCATGGGGTCAGCTCCTGACGGTGTCACTCTGCCTGCTCCATCGCGCCAGTGACCTCTCTGCCTCTCTTCTTCCCCTTTGTCCTGCGTTTTCTCTGGGTCCTCCGAGGCCCCTTCCTATTCTCCTGCCACGGGTGCAGACCCTGAACCCACACCTGGGCATCAGGGCCTTTCTCCTCCCCACCTGCCGCTGAAGCAGGAGGTTCCAGGGCAAAAGGGCAGCTGTGATGATGTGGAAATGAGGTTGCGGGAACCAGCAGAAATGCCCCCATTCTCCCAGTCTCTGTCGTGGAGCCATTGAACAGCTGTGAGCCATGCCTCCCTGGGCCACCTCCTACCCCTTCCTGTCCTGCCTCCTCATCAGTGTGTAAATAATTTGCACTGAAACGTGGATACAGAGCCACGAGTTTGGATGTTGTAAATAAAACTATTTATTGTGCTGGGTCCCAGCCTGGTTTGCAAAGAACACCTCCAACCCAACCCTATCCCTCTCCACTATTCTCTTCTTTCTCCCTGCAGCCTTTTATGGTCCCTCTTCTCTCCTCAGTTTCTCAAGGATGCGTTTGCCTCCTGGAATCGGTATTTCCTTCCATTGTAGCTATTAGTGGCTCCTCGCCCCCACCAATGTAGCATCTTCCTCTGCAGAATAAAATCTCTATTTTTATCGATGGCTTGGTGGCTTTTCCTTGAATCCAGAACACAGCCTTGTTTGTGGTGTCCCCTATCCTCTCCTTTTACCACTCCCAGGCTTGGAAGCTTACCTCTCTCAAACAAATAGAATATGCTGTTGGGGGACTGGTTTCCTAACCTTGCCAGAGGACCCTGAGATTCTGACCCTTGGATGACCCTAACGAGGCCACTGGGAATCCAGCTCTCCTGAGAGAGGAACCTGGTCAGTAGCCAAACAACCCTGCAGGGTTCTTCTTCCTCGTGGAACAGCAACTGGCTGTGTGATATGGACAAGTGCATATACTCGGTGAATGGGGGTTAAACAACCCCAGTGCCTGCTTTTCCTGCCTGGAACAGCTGTTGAGAAAATAGCTACTATTGAATGACAACTGTGACCATCTTCCAAAAAGTAGGAAGAGAAACTAAAGCAGAAAGAGTGCTGCTGCTCCCCCTGACGTAGAGCTACTGGTCCCTGAAGCTTGGCTTCTTCAGCTGTGGTCAGGGCACTGGACAAGGGTGAAGCCCTTCCACCAGCAGAAAAGTAAATACCAGCCTGGGGCAGTGGCTCATGCCTGTAATCCCAACACTTTGGGAGACCGAGGAGGGTAGATTGATTCAGCCCGGGAGTTTGAGACCAACTTGGGCCACTTAGGGAGACCCCATCTCTACAAAAAATATATATATATGTGTGTGTGTGTGTGTGTGTGTGTGTGTGTGTGTGTGTGTGTGTGTGTGTATAGACTATTAGGTATATATATAATACCTTATTAGGACCCCCGCTCCCAATCTTGGGCTCAGGGGGATCCAGATAATAGGTGATGAGCCCGGTGCTGGACCCAGAAGCTCAGAGATGCTGGTGGGAGAGAAGGGAGCAGGTAGGCTAGAATCCAAATGCAGGCTAGGCTTAAACCAATGTAACCAAAGTAAACCCTAATGTGGTCCATAACCAAACCACGAAGCTAGCCATTCCCATAAAGAGCCAGAATGAGGATTTTGTTACTAACACCAATGTGACACATCTGTGTTCACATTCGCCAGAGTCAGAGGGAGTTCTAATCCTACCCACGGCCCTAAACCTATCTCTAACTCTAATCCTCTTCCTGTCCCTAGGTCTAGGTTGAACCTTAGCCTTAACCCTAACTTCAGACAAACACTAACCCCTTCTAAGCTCTAATGTCTGTCCCTAATCCTAACCCCTCCCCACAGGGGAGGATCAGAAGGGCAAGGGGAGCTGTGAAACACCCCACTTATCCCCTAAGAGCAACAACTGCTCCCAGTCAGCTTGAGAATTTCCCCTTCTTCCCTATTCCCTTCTCTCCTATTCAGGCCTCTTCTGCTGTTGGTGCCTCCTACCTTTCCCTGGATGTGTGACCCGCTGTGGGCCTTTGGGATATGTGTAGGGGTAAGGGAATGGAGCCAGGAACTGCTCAATCCTGCAATGACATCCCTTTCCCTTTCTTTCCACCTGCCAAGCTAGCACCATCACAACTCTGATTCCTCACCCTAGGGGGAGAAATAAAAACCTCTTGATCCTGGGGAAGAGGCACCTGAAAAGCTTTGGGTTTCCATAAAGAGCATCCTGCAGAGAATGCCCAGTCTATAAGCCAAAGAGCTATTAAATCCCTCAACTCCCCATATAAGAAGTTAATAGGCTGCCAGAGGTGGGAGGCGGGGCTTGGGCCCCTGCTGGACAGTGCCCAGAGTTGGGGCGAAGCAGCAGGGTAGAGGCAAAGTGTTGGCAGCTGTCTCTAATTACTCTCACCTAAATTCAAACTCCAAGAATTGGAGTCAGTATCAGCTATCAGGCTTGGAAGCTGGGGCACTCTGAACCAGGTTGACAAACAGGAGCTGGAGGAAGAGCAAGGGAAAGTGGTGAATTCTTTTCTGCCCCTACCCAGACTTTCAACAAATCTTGTACTTTCTCAGACTCAGTTGCCTTGCCTATCAAACAGGGATGGTTATTGTTACTTAACCTTTTAGGGAGGTGATGAGGTTCAGATGAGATGATGTACCTGAAAGCCTGGGTCATCTGAATACTCACTGACACCTCTTCTATACCAGGCATCTGCCAAATGCTGGCAATACAATGATTCATAAACCACAGTGCCTGCTTGGAGGAGGTTGACAGTCTGGCCAGGGGATCAAGCACATCCACAGATATGGTTAGTATAGTAGAGGGAGTGCAATGAAGGCTCAATGAAGTGTAAAGCCCTCTGCACATAAATGAAGTTTAAGGGCAGACTCCCATACTCAAGCCCTCGGCATGGAGGCCCTTCTCTTCCAAGGGCTGGAATTTCAAAGGTGATGGTGTTGGGAAGTGCAGAATGAGGCTGGGCCCTCAATGGGCACTAATAAAACACACATACACATACACACACAAAAAAAAAAACAAGTAAAAGGGCGGAGGGATCTGCAAAGCACTGTATAGAAGCTAATCATTTTGTTATTGTGATCATCTGTGCTGTCCTCACACAGGGCTGGAGCAGGTACATCCTGGGGAGAAGAACAGTTGTGCCTAGAAAGGAGACTCACAAAGGTCTCAGGGGCCACAGTGGGCTCAGGGTGGTGGCCATAGGATGGTGACATCAGGACTGTGCCTGATGCGCCACCTCCCACCACCTCTGATCTTCAGGTGCCAGGACCCTGGATACAGGTTGGCCTGAGCAAGTGAGAGAAAGACTAGTCCTGAAATATCCTGGGGGGAGTGGAAAAGCTGAGAAGAAAGGCAGGCTGTGTACAGTCCCCAGGGGGTCAGCGAGCCAGTGCCACACACACCCTGCCACACGCACCCTGGAAAAACCCTGTCAGTGGGGCTGCAAATACCCTAGGGTCCAGCCTCCCCCAAAGCCTCCCCCCTCGCCCCAGGCTGGCTCAGTCCTCCTCTCCAGCGCTGAGGGAGAAAAATAACAAAATGAGGAGAAAATAAGCTGTTTGGCTGTGGTGTGAGCAGGAATATCCATGCAGGGCTGCCCACCACTCACCCTTACTCACTCTTTCCACACCCAGCCGGGGCGCCCAGCATGAGACAGACCACCCCCCTGCCCCCTCCCCCGTCTGGTCTAAAAGCAGACGCTGGTGAGCGAGCAGCAGGTTATAAATATGCCCAGGGAACTGCCGCCAACTCGCTCCCTTGTCATCCCCTGGGAGGGGCAGGGTGGGGTGGCTCCTAGGGAGGAGCCAGGGCTGCCCCGTTCCCTGAGGCCCAGGAGGAAGTGGGGCTTCCTAAAGGCTACCATATTTCCCCCCTTTTCAAGGTGAAGGAACCACTGCCACTCCATTTTCTCTGAACGTTTGCTTATCTCTTCAGAGATGGGGTCCCTACCCTCCCTGGGCCCTGGCTGAAAGCTCAGAATGAAAGGGCCCAAAGCACTATGTGTCATGGCACAACCGGATGCTACTTCTCTTCTTCACATGCATTTACGCTCAGCAAAACGGAAGTTCATTCATTCATTCGACAAGCATTAACTGAAAGCCAACTGAATGCCAGACCCTGTGCACAGGCACACCTGTGTGCACAGTGTCTGCATACGCAGGTGCAAGCACACACAGCCACCCCTGCTCCATGTGCTCACATCACCTCCAGCCCCCACTAAGGACTTCCTGGCTTCAACCTGGCAGCCTCATCAGGAAAGCAAAGCTTCAGGTTCCTGGTTGTGCCTCAGAATAGGTTACGGGGCATGGGGCCGGGGCGGGGGGTGACTGAGAACAGGGCCCTCAAACACTTCTGCTTCCACTACTTCCCTTGTAAATGAGGGGGTCCTTTCTCCCCTTCCTGCGCAATCATCCTCCCTAAGTAGGTGCCATGTGATGAAGAAAGAGCCATTTCTGGGATGCTGAGGGTACCTGTCCAGGCTGCCGGAGCCTCCCGCCTCCCAGCCACTTGCCAAGTAGGTGCCAAGCTGGGGCAAGAGGGGGCACTTCCACCCTATGAAGCTCCCAGCTCTCCTCCCCCAGGGCTGAACCCCTCCCTTTTCCCTCCTCCCTATTAATCCTCGGAAGTTAAGGGGCCGTCCCTGGCGGCCCCTCAGCCCTATTGTGGCCCCTCGCCCTCCTCGGCTGGCGTCTAATTAACTCCTCCTGCCCCTGGTTTTGTGTGCCCCCCTTACCCCACCTTGTCGGCCCCGCCCCTATGCTCGACCGGCTCCCCCCCACGGACATTCCAGCCAGGCCGGGCCAGTGTGCCAGGGCAACCAGGGCCGGACCGAGGCCTAATCCTCCCGCCGCCTGGCCCGGCTTGGGGAGCCCCACTCACCTCCCCGCTCTCTGGGGGCTGCCCG